CCGAGTGAGCCACGGGCCGGCCCATGTGTGTGACTCCATTTCTATGAAACGTCTAGAACAGGCCATTCCACAGAGACAGAACGTGGATCTGCAGTCACCGGGGGCTGGGGGACGGGCTGGGGAGTGACGGCTGGTGGCAACGGGGCTGCTTTTTGGGGTGATGAGGATGTTTGGTACTAGACAGAAGGAACAGTTGCATGAAACTGTGAATATACTAAATGTCACTGAGTTGTTCACTTTAAAATGGTTAATACGTTCAGTTTTACATTTCTGTGCATTTTACCACAATAAAGAAGAAATGTAACCACAAGATGCAAAGGAGATGGGCTGTCACTTACAGCTGCTGAAGTTGGGGATTGTTCATCAGGTTTGATGCCTGGAGAACAAAACAGACGTGTCAGAAAAGAGCGCTTCCTAACACGTGACCTCTGTGAACGTTCTTGCTTTAATCAACTCCGGGTCCACCGCCCGAGCACCTCGGGGCCGCCGCTGAGAGCCGGGCATGGGTCTCTCCTACCCTTTCTCCTACGTTTTGGAGTCCCTGTCCTCACGAGTTGCAGTCCTAGCCTTTTACCACTTAAAGCCTGTCTTGGGTTCTCTAAGAAAGGCCCCACAGACCGTTTCTCCGCTGGCTGCTGAGGTTTTGCCATGTGATGCATTGTGGCCATTTCAGCCACTGTCTACGTCAGGGTAACTGGCTGGTTTCCAGCGTCGCTCTATCAGTAGATAGTGTCGTACTAGACACTTTCCAGCATTAACTTTTCCATTTAGGATTATTCTTTAGCACCTATTTAAAGAAGTGGACGACTAGGAAACCTCATGGGCGTCTCTCAGGGGCTTCTGTGGCAATAAAGGACCAGAGTGAAGTATTTTCAGTTTTTCCAGCCACAGGGTCTCTGACCCCACTCCTCAGCTCTGCCACTGTATCTCAAAGCCACCTCTGACGACACATGTGATTGATTGGGTCTGGCCATGTGTGCCAATAAAACTTTACTTACAAAACCCTGCGGTGGGCTGCAACCTGCCACCCCCAGGTACATGAGGTCAAAGGGAGCCAGTGACTACTGTCAGGCCAAGGGGGACAGCCTTCTCCCCCATCCTCCCAGCAGCCTGGCCAGTGCCTGGGGCTGCAATGAAAGAGCCACTTCTGATTCACGCAGCCACACGCACCTCGCTGTGGTGAGGACGCTTCTCTTAATGGTGTTACATGAAACACCACACCCCGAGGCCACGGGAGCCAGCAGCGTGGCCCGAGGGCAGGTGAGACCAGCCAGGGAGTGAACATGTGTGTGGGGGGATGGCTCCCTGAGGGTTCCAGCTGAGGGAACTGCTGCCAAAGGACGTCCATCTCACAGCACGTGCAGCCTGGCACTGGAGGGGCACCTGCACCCTGAGTTATCCTGGTCAGTGTTGGGAAGTACCGTTGGTAACACCACTACGTGTCTCTACAGGGTGAGGAGGAAACCCAAGCTGGGGGCAGGGGGTAATCTCCCCGGATTATTGAGCTAAGAGGGGCAGGACTCAGTCTTGTCCCTTGTGCTCAGCAGGGTCTTGCCTGGGGCAGCCCTGGGGACACGTGACAATGCTTAGGACATTTTAGACCATCACAACTGGGGCGCAGGTGGCCCTGGCATCTGGTGGATGGAAGCTGGAGATGCGGCTGAATGCTTGGTGGTGCCCAGGACGGCCCAACAAAGGAGAATCATCTAGTCTAACGCCAACAGCGCTGAGGTTGGGAAGCCCCGGCCTGTGGCAGACGCAGGCCCGGGCCATGGCGGGGACGAGTGGGAGACTCGTTACCATGCTTATGATGCTCGGGTTGTTCAGAAAGCCGGCCATGTCAAAGCTGCCCATGCCTCCCGTCTGCGGATGAGAAAAACACGGTTAGTGACAGGCAGGCCCCAGGCACTGAGAGGTAACAGACCCCCACAGGGCCAGAGGGTGCTCTGCGTAAGGCAAAGTCGGGTATCAGGCACGTCTTCCACGTTCTGCAGTCTGATGCTAGGACACGCTGGGGCCCCTCCCGAGAGTGGCCAGTTCCTAGAGATAGCAACAGCAAACAGCCCAGAGCACAACTCTCAAATGCACACCCGCCAATCCAGAGCCCACATCTCAATGGCCTCCTCGACGGGGCCCCCACACTCAAGGCCATTGTTCCCCTGCCAACCAGGAACAGCCCCCTCCACCCAGAGCTGCTGAAGTGACACACCCAGCCCAGCCTGAGCCTGCTGGAAACCACGACAAAGTCTCCTGACCACAGCCCCTGTCCCTGCTCCCGGCCGACCCAGGGCTGCCGTGTGGCCCTGCCTCTTGCCTCTAGGGATCTGTGAGCATAAACTTCCTCGTGACAGTCATTTCTGCGTCTGCATGTCCTACTGCCCCTGATGATGACAGACCTGGGACCCACAACACGTGGTTAAGCCCAGCCCTGGACCTGCAGCTGGCGGAGCCCCCACCCAGCTGCCCCCACTGCACAGGGCCGCGCTGCAACCTGTGGGGCTCACCGGGCTTGGCACCTCTCTCAACTTCAGTTCTGCGATCTTGAGGTTTGACTTGTATGTCTCGTTGTCGGGGTCCAGCTCCAGGGCCTTCTTGTAGTAGGCCACGGCCTCTGTGTGCTTGTTCAAACTGGAAAGCGCCAGGCTGGGGGGAGACGGAGCCGCAGAGGACTTTTCCCACTACCCTGGACCCCAGCAGTCCTAGCCAGTTCAGTGACATCGCCCCATCCACTGTCCGGGCTCAGTGGGGAGGCACCTGGCCCTCAAGGGGGCCGGGGTGGGGCTGAGAGGCAGACACGGTAGTGGAACTCGGACACACAGGAACCGACCCCCTCACGGGGCTATACCCAAGCACTTCGAAAGCCCCGAGGACATGGCTTAGGGGAGGAGAGGGCAGGTGTGGTATCCTAAAGACACACACAGTCTCTGTCCCTGGTTCCTAGCATGTGCCTCCTAAAGCCCGTGGGGTTTCCCGAGTGAACAGGAGTGTCTTTTATAATGAGCCCCTCGACCACACGTGAGTCTTTGCTGATGTGGTAACTCGGGGGGACCTCTGGACAGCCTCAGGTTGGGGCTGGTCACCAGAGGAGCAGACAAGCACAGAGAAGGCCCAACCTGGGATGGGATTATAAAAACTCCCGAACAAGGCGATACAGAGAGCACCCAAGTCCACGGGGACAGAGGTCCCTGTACCTGGAACCCTCCGCCCCACCCCGTACGCCTCTCCTCTGGCTGTTCATTTGTATTCTTTATTGAATCCTTTCTAATAAACCAGTAAACACAAGCAAAGTGCTTCCCTACATTCTGTGAGGCGTTCCAGCAAATTATCAAAACTAAGAAGGGGGATTCTAGGCAGCGCACGTTTACAGCCAGTCAGTCAGGACGGGTGGCTGCCTGCGGTGGGGGCAGGCTGTGGGGCTGAGCCTCAACCTGCGAGGTCTGCGCTCACTCGGGATAGCCGGTACCAGGACTGCACTGAGCTGGTGAGAGAAAACCAGGGACGGCACTTACCCCATCCTGCCGTAGGCCTTGCTGTAGGAGGGGTCTATGCAGATGGCCCGCTCGCAGTCCTGCACGGCGCCCGCGTAGTTCCCCAGCTTGCTGTAGGCTGCAGCTCTGCGGAGACAAGAGGCAGGGCAGGCTCTCGCTGGTGGTTCTGCGCCTGCGGGCAGCCCTGGGAGGGGAACCAGAGAGCTGTGCTCCTGACCAGCTGCCTGGAAGTAACCACCTGGGGCATGAGCCTCAGTTTCCCCATCTGTAAAATGGGGGTGGTAGGGGGTTGCCCAGAGGCATGTCTGATGAGATATTGTTAGACAAGGAAGTGACAGCCTGGGAAGCAGACATGCAGCACCAGGCTCTGAACTCAGAGTCAACAGACTCTACTGCCCAGGCTCTTCCCACTGGTGTGGGGGGAGTGTGTGCACAGAGGACGCACAGCCAGTGCGGCTCACAAGGGCCAGCTGAGCCCCACGTGTGTGTTCACGGGGCAGCAGGGAATCGATTCAATTCATAGAGCGTGACCTCTGCAGCCAAACTGCCCAGTTGAATCCTGTCCATACCCCAGTTTCCTCATCTGTCAAAGGAAGATAACAGAACCTGCCTCTCCCTGGGTGGGGGGAGGTCTAGTGAGTATGTGCAACGCCTAGAGTGTGAACTCCTGATCCACGTATGACCAGCGCTGTTCTGGTGGACACACGTCCGAGAGAGAGCAGTAAAGCCTCCATGGCGTGGTGACCGCCTGCCCTGCAATGGGTGTGAGGCGGGAAACCTGGCTCACAGCCGGCCCATCTCAGCAGCCAGCCTGCCTGGACAAATTTTTTTTGGTGTCATCCCTTCTCCCATTCAAGAAAGCAAACACAAGAGAGAAAGAGAGACATTGATTATAGGGAGAGCCCCGAAACCACCCTAAGACAAGAAAGCTAAGCGTTCACAAACGGCACTTCTCCTGGCCATACGATTTTTGACTCAGGTGGCAAAAGCCTCAGAACCTTCGCCCTCTGCCGTGCTGTGCCCTGCTGTGGGGCCGAGGCTGGACGGCGTCGCTGGGGGACTCTGCAGTGGCCTTGGTTGTGTGTGCACAAAAGTGAGGGGGGCGCTGGTGCCAGAGGATGGCACGGACCTCAGAGTATAAAGGGGATCGTGCTGTGACCCTTTTGTCCCAGCAACACACCAAGCGCCACTGGGAACTGACTCCAAAGTTTCTTTGTAGAAATGTTTGGTCTCATGGTTGTAGAAGATAAATGGCACAAGGAGCTTACGCCCAAGTTCACGCTCCCAAATATCTAAATACTATTAAAAAAAATTCAGACCCATCGTGAGGCCACTGTCAAGGCTTGGTACTTACGAGTCACTCCCCTGCCATTTTGGTTTTTGGTATTTTACTATACATTTCTTCTCATTTTCAAAGTACAGAAAAGCGTTAAGGAGAAAACAGGGAAAAGCAGCCACTCCGAGTGGAGGGAGACGGGCACTGTCCGAGATATTTTTACAAATTCCCTGTAAGCCTAGAGTCGATCCAAAATAAAAAGGTAAAAGAAAAACAAAACAAAACAAAACAAAAGCAGCTGTCCCCTGAGGCAGGCGGGTCACATTTGGGACATATCCCTGACACATGACATTTGCTCAGCTATTGTCCTGCACCGACGATTCTGCATCTGTGTTTCCCTCTGGTCATTAAAAACTGCCCCTGAGCACAATACTCCTCATCACGAGGCTCTGAAGGTTTACGCCTCCTTTAAAAGTAGAGGCCAGGTGCAGCTTTTCACTATGATCAGGATGGATGCTCCTTGACTTATGAAAAACCCGTTCTAAGTGGAAAAGACTGTACGTGGAAAATGCACTGAACACCCCTAAACTAGCGAACGTCACAGCTGGGCCCAGCCTGCCTTCACTGGGCACAGGACACTTACGTTAGCCCACCTGGAGCTGCGCCAGACCACCTAACGCAGAGCCTCTCTCGTAACAAAGTGCTGACCATCTCATGTAATTTAATGAGTGTTGCACTGGAAGTGAGGGACGGGGCGGTCATATGGGCACTCAAAGCACGGTTTCTACTGAGCAGGTATCGCTTTCCCACCATCCTAAGTCAGGGACCGCCCGTCAGCAAGGGCATGAAATGTTTTCCAAATCTTGGGTCATTTTCTTGGTTTGATGTCCTGCGTGAGGATCACGCCACTGCCTTTTCCCATCACTACTGCCTCTCCTGGCACCCTTGCTGGCCACCTGTCACCTGCCCAGGTGTGGAACTGCAGCTGAACAACCCCCCATCCACGGCGCAGAGGCCCCTCCTGTCTTAGGCCCTGCTGAGCACCTGAGGTCCTGGTGACACTCGGGGGATGCATGACCCCTCGCAGCTCCCCGCAGTCCCTGAACCAGTACCTGTTACAGAAGTAGACGGCGTTGGCAGGGTTGATCTCAATGGCTTTCCCGTAGAAGTGCACGGCGGCTTCAAAGTTTTCTACTTTCATCTGCTCGTTTCCTAAAGAGAAAGAAAACATACGCCTGGGCTGCTAGTGTCAGACCCAAGGGGTCTGGACAGCATCACTCTCGGCCCTTCTGGCCTGTGTTTAGGGGCGGGGGAGGCGTGAGTGGAGCAGTGAGGCCTGCGCCCACGCTCAGTGACACCTGGGAACTGGGCCTCGATACGCTCACTGGCCGAGTGACCAACACTATTCCCTTTGCTTTTTCTTTCAGAAACAGCCCAGGTGGCGGCACACAGTCTAGAATAATCACGGAGGATCTTCTGATTTCGTGGGCAATGTGGCTTTTCCATACGGTGTAGCTCCCAGCTGGCAGGAGGGTGGAGACTGGCGGCCACCTCAGGATCAGCCAAGAGCTTTGGAGACAGAAGCCGATGCTGGCCGCTCCCAACCCAGGATGCCAACTGTGGGGGCTGGGGGGACGGGGAACCCCGTGTGTTTTTTAAAATAGTTTCACGCAGACATAATTCATGGAGTGTAGAGCCTACCCTTTAAGAGTAGAATTCAACGTGGGCTTTAGCATAATCAAGTGTTCTGCCACTGTCACCACTCTTTTACTTTACAGCACTGTCGTCACCCAAATGGAAACCGTATATCCCTCGGCGGTCACTCCCCATGCCCCACCCCAGTCCCCGGCAACCACGAATCCACTTTCCGTCTCTGTGGATCGGCCTGTTCTGGACATTTCATGTAAATGGAGTCACACAGTGTGTGGCCTTTTGTGTCTGGCTTCTGTCACAGAGCGTGATGTGTTCGAGGTCCATCCACATGGCAGCGTGTGTCAGAGCCTCACTGCTGTTCATGGCTGAGTGATGCTCCCATGTGGGGATGGACCACGCTGTGTGTATCCATTCTTTTGGGCTGTTTCCACCTTTGGGCTGTTGCGAGTGGAGCTGCCGTGCACATGGGCATGTAACTATCTGTGTCCCTAATTCACTTCCCTCAGATAGAACAACAGCACTTCAAAAGGACTGTGGAAAAGTTGAACTAAAACACAACCCCTCCACAAACCTTTTGAAGTACGCTTGTATATCCAAAGCGCAGGGACTCGGGCCAGCCGGTAGCTCACTTGGGAGAGCGTGGTGCTGGCAACACCAAGTCAGAGATTAAGATCCCCTTACCAGGGCCGACCCCGTGGCTCACTCGGGAGAGTGCAGCACTGGGAGTGCAGCGTCAAGCGCCACGGCCACGGGTTCGGATCCTATATAGGGATGGCCGTTGCGCTCACTGGCTGAGTGTGGTGCAGGCGACACCAAGCCAAGGGTTACGATCCCCTTACCAGTCACGAAAAAAAAAAAAGATCCCCTTACCGGTCATCTTTAAAAAAAAAAACAAAACAAAGTGCAGGGGTGGCTGGTTGGCTCGGCTGGTTAGAGCGCGGTGTTGTAACACCAAGGTACAGGGTTCAGATCCCCACACCACAAAAATCAAAGTGGAACCGCGGTGTCACATGGAATCTAGGTCTGACTTTTTCTTTTCAACAGCAGCTATTTTACATTCCCACTGGTGTATGAGCTTTCAACTTCTCCACATCTGTGCATCTGAGTTCTTGAAAGTCCCCTTCCCTATCCCCAAGGCCAGCTTGTCAACCGCTGCTCACCAGCACCACCTCCCTTGGCTGCCAGAGCCGGGGACCACCTGGTCCCCACCCTCTCGTGCAGCCACCGGAGTCCAGGCAGGATGAGGTGCCCCACGGGGACACAGGAATCTGTCTCTTACCTTCGGTTTTGAGGCGTTCTGCCTCCACCGACTCTTCCTCAGAAAGCGGGGCTTGCTCAGGGTTCCTCAGGTCCTGTGGCATCTCCTGGCCCCAAGGCAAAGACAAGCCGCTGTCCTCCTCCCCCACACCCCGCACCCCTTAGCCTCCCCTTCCCTCAGGGGTCCCAGCAGAGGGCAGCCAAGCTCAGGGAGACTCAGGGCTCTGCAGGCACAGTTTGGGGCCCTGTGACCCTGGGCAAGTGACCCCAACCCTGTGCTCCTCCAACTCCCGCCTGCAGGACGGGGGTGACCAGTGCTCCCTGCAGCCTGTGGTTCTCAGCCTATGAGAGGCCACAGAAGTCCCCCGCACTCTGTGGACGCAGCCCGTGGGGCTGTTCTGATTTTCCAGGAGGGACTTGGGGCAGCCTAGTGCTCACCTTGCCTGCAGCGGCCGCTTCAAATATTTCCGGCAGAGTCTGAGGAAGCGCTAGGTCGCTGTCTTCCACCGTCACCCCAAAAGCGGTCTCCAGGCACTGGATTGCCACTGGAAGGGAGGACAAAGGTCTCCTCTCCCACGCGCCCCACGTGCGTTATACGCAGCCCCGAGCTGACATGCCCAGCCTGGCAGGCAGGGCTTGTGCCCGTTCTTCAGTTGTGTTTGCTCACAAAGATCCTGGACATGATGGGCCCTCCACGCACCCATGGGATCCTGGTTGGGATTTCTCCTGCTCCCATTAACCTCAAGCCTTGGAAACTCAAGACCAACAGACACGCCCTGCACTCTGAGAGCAGGGGAGGCAGTGGGCATGATGGGGTGACCTCAGGCCTCTCGGTGGCATCACTCTGCTGGGGCCTCCTGCTAAGGGGCAGTAAGGGCTCAGCCTGGCCTGGAGGCCATGTTGGGGGCAGGTGCTCGGGGACACTGTCAGACTTCTAAGGGAACGAGCCGGAACCAAGAGCTTGAAGCAGCCCCTAGGCAAGTCCTTCCTGACTGGTTTGCACCAGGGGCTGGACCAACAATGTCCAGGAGCCCCTCTCCCCAGCTCACCCACCCAGCAGGCTCCGTAGGTGGGGGGGTCCTGGCCTCCTCCGGGAGGGGACCTGGGGTCCTGACCCGAGTTGGAAGCAGGGTCAGCAGGGCTGCGACCAAGCTGTGGGTCCACCCAGCCCCGGGCACACACCCGCAGTGCCGATCCCCAGCCTCAGCCTGCACTTCTGTGCTACACAGGCCTGGCACAACCCCAACTCGGGTGAGTGAGGGACACGCCCCTCCCTCTGTGAGGAAGGACATGGACCAGAACCCGCCAGCTATGTGGGTACCTCGCGGGGCCTTCCCCTCCTCCTGAGCTGTCACTGTGAGGTACAAGCCAGACCAGACGGTGAGGATGGCCTGCTCGGTGCTGGGCTGTCTTTGACTGTGCAGTCGTGAGTCGGGGTAGGCCAAGCTGGGCACCAAGGGCTCCGGGGCCCCACTAGGGGAGCCGCTCACTCTCCCGCAACTGGCAGGAATAAGACACATTGGGGGGCCATGGAGAATATTCTGGACCACTCCTCAATGGAAAATGAGATAGAGAAAACCGCCGGAAAACAGCTCAGCTTAAAGCCAGAGGACCAGGGTGGTGCCAGGGGGACCCTGGCTCCTGTGACTGGCACTCTGCGTGGCCCTGTCCTCCCTGGGCTTGGCTTCCTTACCCACACACCGGGAAGGGGCCCAGGCGTGTATGCATGGTGAGTGTGCCGGCCGCCCTACACACGCTCCTTCGGTGGTTTAATGGCGGTGGGGAGGGACCCACGATCCTGGGAAGGGGTAGGGGGCGGCGCCCACGTACCTTCCAGGCTCTCCTGGGCATCAGACGAGAGCCCCCCGTGCCGGAGCTGGTCGTGCAGGAAGCGGATGATGGCGTAGGCCAGGCGCTTCTTGTTGTCCATCTTGAGATGGGAGGAGACCACGCCTGGGGGTCGTCAGGATCTGCGGGTCCAGGTAGGAGAGCATGACGCTCCCTGTCAGCCCCCCGAACCACAGATGCCCCAGACCAGACTGCCCGTCCCCTAACTTGCCAGGTCCCTGCCTGCCTCTGCTGCTGAATGAGCCACTTTCAATGCGCTGGCCAGTCTTAGCTTCATGACGCCCGAGGCAGAGTGCTTTATGGTGCCACCTCGCAGTGACGACCTGGAGCTCACTGATCCGCCCATGCACACGGCCCGTGAAGGCTGCCTGGCCCCGGAGCACTGGTGCCCGCTCCCGCTCCCAGTCCTGCCGGAGTGCTGTGGCCTCACGGACCTGCCCTCTGCCTGTGCTCCCAGCATGGAGCGGGTGGGGGCCGGGGACGCTGCTCAGCACCTGCATGCCCAGGAAGCCCCAGCACAGAGAATCCAGCCCCAGTGTTCACAGTGCTGAGGGGGAGAGACCTGCTCCTAGGCCAAAGCTGTGGCTCTGAGCACCCCTTCCTCAGTTTGCTTCTTTGGTGGCACATCAGCATTTACTAAGTGCCCGGCAGGGACAGGTGTGCCTCCCCCACATCTCTGGAGTTCTTTGAGAACTGTATGGGTTTTTGATTTCCCATTCCCAGTACGTGACAGGTGCGTTGGCTCATGTTGGTGGTCCCCGAAGGGTGACAGCAGGGGAGAGTGTCTGGAATCAGGAACTGTAGCCTATGGATAGGCCTTTCTTTGGCACAAGACCTTTCAGGCAATAAAAGGGACACCTTGGAGGGACTTTGGCTGCAGTGACCTCCACGGTGCCAAGGGGAAGGCCAGCTACGTGCTGTACGAGCTTCCCATGGGGCAGGCGCCGCCCGAGCAGGCCGGGCACAGCCCACTGCCCAGTGGCTTGTGGGGCCACCTCGGGCAGCTCACTGGGCCCCCATCTGCCCCTGGAGTCCAGCCGAGACAACACTAAATGTTTTGATGTAACAAACAAAGAGGAGAGGCAGGAGCAATATCCGGGACAGCCGTGTGCTGGGCTGAACAGTCCTCCCCAAAGTCACATCCACTCAGAGACTCAGAGTAGGATGCTATTTGGAGATGGGATCTTTGCAGATGTGACCTAGTGAGACGAGGTCATTATTAGGGTGGGACCCAATGCAATGATGGGTGTCATAAGAGGGAAATTTGGGCACAGCTATATATAGAGACGGCCATGTGAAGACAGAGGCAGAAATTGGGGTGATGCATGTTACCAGTCAAGGCACCCCAAGGACTTCCGGCAGCCACCAGAAGCAGGAAGGGGCAGGAACCCTGACAGGGGTCGGAGTGCGTCCCCACTGACCCTCACATCTCAGACTTCTGGCCGCCAGGACCACGAGAGAATCAACCTCTGCTGTTTTAAGTAACCCAGACTGTGGGCATTTGATGACAGCCCAAGATCTAGGAAAGGAACACAGCCCTCGGCTGGTAAGAGGAGGCCAGGATGGCTCGGGACATGGCAAGGCAATGCATAAGGCCCGTGAGCAGAGAGGCCGGGTAGCCGGGTTGGTCTCCCAGCTCCCCGGAGGCTGAGGTGGGTTACTGTTCAGCCTGTCTCTGCGTCTGTTAAATAGGATTAATAAATACCCATATGGCTGCTGCTGGCATCAGGGAAACAACTACTGGCAAGTTCTCAGCCCAGTGCTTGGTGCCCTGCAATGTCTGTTATTAATGTCATAGTTCCCTGAGGTAAGCCATGCGGCGCAGACTGTGGCTGGCCGTTTTCGGCTGTGTGACCCTGAAGGGTCAACTCTTCTGAGCCTCAGTTTCCCCCCGTCACCCACAGGCAGTGACAGCAGCTCTCAGCAGGGTGGGTGTGAGGAGGAGGCGGGCGCCCGTGACTCTTCCAGGAAATTTCCAGGCAGGGGCTCTTCCTGCGTGTGCCCCTAAAGTACCAGGTCTACACATGCTGTGGCTGCCCCAGAAACACTTCAACACTCAGGGGCAGTTTCACAGGGAGCAGGTGGGAGGGCAGAGAGAATATTCTCCGAGGCTGTAAGCAGCAGCGGAACGGGGTTCTGGTATTGAGGTGTAGCGTACCCCAGGACACTGGGAGTGGCCCTGGCCGCAGGGGTGGGCCCTGTGTCTTCTATCCTCCCACTGGGGCTCCCTTGGCCTAGGCCTCCCTCTCCACCTGCCCCTTCCAGGCTGGGCTGGAGGGCCACCCTTCCTGGCTGCCACTTGTGTGCCCACGATCAGGTGTGCCTGCAAGAGTGACTCTGGCCACCTGTCTCCCTCGCTGGGTCTGCAAGTAGGGAGGCCGGGGCTGTGCCCTCTTGGGGGCCCAGCATGGTGGGTGCCATGACCTGTGCCCTGGGTGCCCATACCAGTACAGGAAGGAAGAGGCAGAACTGAGATCCCCAGAAGGGGATCTGTTTACTCAAGAGGTGTGGGAGCTTGTGTTTGCGGAGAAGGGACCGTGGCCATCTGGGGCGGGATTCCAGTGGAGCTCACGAGGTGCAGGCTGGATCGAGAGGGCACCAGCCATGGGCACTCAAGATGGGTTTGTAGAATGAGGACAAAAACTGGGCTTGAATTTCATGTCTTCTGCCTGTCACAGCTGCTTCGTAATGATCTTCCCCTCTCCTGTGGTTTGTGCTCTGATCCAATTTCCAAAAAGCGGCTAAAATAACATCAATACCTAGGAGGAAACTCTGCCCCGGGACCTGGGAGGGCCCATGTGCTCCTCCCGAGCTGATGCAACACGAAAACAGAACACACAGGGTCTTGTACGCCAAATCCCACGCCCAGGCTGAGCCCCAAGAACCACTTGCGTACAAGACAGTGGCACGGACAAGAGTTCCACATGCTGAGCGTTGTTACTGGCTGAAGCGTGTCCCCAGAATCTGCATGGTCAAGGCCTAAGCCCCTGGGCCTCAGGATGTGACCGTATTTGGAAATAGGGTCTTTGCTGAAGGAATTAGTTAAGATGACATCATACCAGAGTAGGTTGGGCCCTAATCCAATATGACCGGTGTCCTTGTAAAAGGGAAAAGTTTGGACAGACACGTATGCAGGGAGAAGCCCGTGTGACGATAGAGGCAGAGATCAGGGCGATGTTTCTCCAAGCCGTAAGATGACATCATACCAGAGTAGGTTGGGCCCTAATCCAATATGACCGGTGTCCTTGTAAACGGGAAAAGTTTGGACAGACACGTATGCAGGGAGAAGCCCGTGTGACGATAGAGGCAGAGATCAGGGCAACGTTTCTCCAAGCCAAGGAACGCCAAGGAGTGCCGCAGCCAGCAGAAGCTGGGGAGAGGCCTGGGCAGATTCTCCCTCAGCCTCAGAAGGAGCCAGCCCTGCCCTACCTTGATCTCGACTCCTGGCCTTCGAGAAAGAACCAAGAGAGAATACGTTTCTGCTGTTTGAACTGCCCAGTCTGCAGTACTTTGCTACGGTGGCCCTACCAAACCAACACAAATGCCCTTCGAGGCGGCACTGTAAACTATCGCCTCTATCCTCACAGCGACACAAACAAGCAGGTTGGTCCTAGTTTTAGATGAGCCAATGCAGGCGGAGGGGTTTGGGAGCATGCCTGGGTCAGGCAGCTATGAGGACCCCTGCGCTATCATAGTACAGGGGCAATCACTGCTGCATCCACCTGCAAGGGACAATGGCCGAGACGCAAAGGAGAGGGTGGGGGTGGCTGGCTGTACCAGGGACCCAGAAGCCAGCGGCCAGAGGAGCAGCTCCAACTCCTGCAAGGAAATGAACCTTCATATTGTTCTTATGCAAATGTCCATTTTGATTTTAAGTGCCCAGATGGTGAAGGTTGAAGGCAATAGCAAACACGTGCACGCCTTCTGGACACAACGACCCCATGCACAGGCCACCACGTAGGTGAAAGTGGAGGCAGAGCACAAAAGTACTTAAAATCTGAGGTCAATCTGTGTGAACTTTCTCTGCTTCCAGCAGACCTGGAACATCAACTTTAAAAATACCTGCAAGTGTATGGGGGTGAGGTGCCTCCAGTGAATTTTTAATAAACAAACTAATCCCCCTTGCAAAACAGCCTTCGTGTTCTAAGAGGCAAATTCTAAAGGAACCCTGTGGATTCTACTTACCCATCTCATTTTGTAAAACGGGGTGTGTGTGTGTGTGTGTGTGTGTGTGTGTGTGTGCGCGCGCACGCGTGCATCTCTTTCTAGATTCTGTTTCTTCTCAGTGGGTGGTGGGCAATTCTACCTCCCCCCAGGGACACTGGGCAAGGTTTTGTTTTCTTTTTTTGTGGTTGTCATGACTTGGGGATGCTCCTGGCATGGAGTGGGTGGAGGCCAGGGAAGCTGCTCAGCACCTGCAGTGCCCAGGACGCCCCACCACAGAGAAGGATCCAGCCCCAGTGTCCACAGTGCCGAGGGGGAGGCCCCAGACTGGAAAATAAGACAGCGTGAAGGGCCTGTTATTTGAGGCCCGTGAGTCTACCCAGCACTTCACTCAACAATGTTTTACTCCCTCCACGTGATGACCTACAAGGGAGGGGTCCTTGCCCCAGGCAGCTCCTGACCTGCCCCCATGTGCCACAGAGATGGGAGGTGTTAAGTGTCTTAGTACCCCTAGAATGCAGACAGGGTGAGCAGCCTGTGCCCCTAGAAAATGAGTGTCACTTGCCAGAGATGAGCAGGTCACTCACCCACCAGGGCTTCCAAAACTGGCCGACACTGGACTCTAATTAAGCCAGCAACACTGTACCCCAAAGTCACTGCACAGGCACAGCCAAGACATGCTTGATATGCTCGTAGTTGTTTCATGGAAAACAACATCCAGTGATAATTGTTTACAAAAAAAAGAAGGAAGGGAAGAGAAAGACGCCAGACACACAAGGCCACACAGCGTGTGACTCCGTTTACATGAAATGTCCAGAACAGGCCGATCCACAGAGACAGGAAGAGGATTCGTGGTTGCCGGGGGCTGGGGGAGGGGATGGGGAGTGACTGCTGATGGGGATGGGGCTTCTTTTTGGGGTGACAGAATGTTCTGGAATTAGACAGTAGTGATGGTTGCACAACCTTGTCATTGTACTAAAATTGACCAAATTTTATGTTATGTTAATTATATCTCAATTGTAAAAGGGGATGAGATTCTGACACATGCTACGACGCTGCCGAACCTTGAGGATACTACGTGCTGTGTAACTAGAGAGGGAGTTACGGTCTCTGAGGAAGCTCCCCAGAGACGGTCATGAGTTTTCCATCCCCATCTCTGGACACAGTAGGGCCTGGAACTGCGAGGCATGGGATCAGGCTGGGCCAGACTGGCAGACAGACAGTCCCAGAATCCAAGGATCCCACCCGTGACACAGCAGGTCAACCACACAGGAAAGTGAACCCCAAAGGGTGAAGCCATCCGCCTCAGCAAATGGGGTTCTGCTGACCTCCAAACTCAAGGAAAACAGACACATGCCACCCAAAGGGTTTCACATTACAAGTCTGGTATGTTTTATTTTTATTTACTTACTTATTTTGCTGCTGGCCGTTAGGGCATCCGAACCCTTGACCTTGGTGTTAGCAACACCGCGGTCTAACCAACTGAGCCAACCAGCTGGTCGTTTTTTAAAAACACCTATTTTTTTGATGGATAACAGGATTAATCACTATAGGCAAAATGTGGAAACA